ATATTTTAAAAAATATATAATATGTATTTTATATATTATATAAAATATATAAATAATATAATATTTATTAAAATATATATTTATAATTTAATATATATTTTTTATTATTTTCTTTATAATTTCAATCTCTCTCTCTCTCTCTCTATTTAGCCGCTTCAGTAGTAATAGTAGTAAGAGTATAGGCTAAATTTCGGGCTCGGGCCCAGGCTCGGGCTTTGGGCTTTTTATGAGGGCCGGGCTAGGGCCCAAGTTGTAGGCTCGATGGTCAGGCCGGGCTCGGGCTCGGGCCTTAGAAAAATCTGTTAATACAGAGTAAAAGCCTGACCCGAGCCTGGCCCGGCCTGACCCATGAACAGGTCTAACTACTACTAAGTAACTTAATTTTTGCAATTAATTTAGTTTAATAGTATTGAATAATTGAAAGTTTTTAATTATCATTATTAATTTGTTTATTAATTATCTTTAATTAATTATATGTTCAAACTAATAAGTTTCATTATTTTCAATAATTAATTATCAGTAATATATTAATGATATATTATTAATTATAAAATCAGTAATGATAATAATATTACAATCATAATAATAATAATGATACTCTTATTATTATTATTATTATTATTATTGTTATTATTATTATTTAATTGTAACTAGCGATAATTATAATTATAATATAATTATATATTAGATATATTAGATATTTAATTATCCAGTATAATAATTAATATTATTATTATTAATGAAAATAAGTATAAAATGTAAATATGCAATAATCATTACTTAGTTTAAATGTTTATAAATAATGAAATTTTGGTTAATAAAATTACTATTGATTAATTCAAATTAACAGTAATTAATTAAGAACATTAATTTCTGAAAATGTTATTATTTGAAAATAATAATTATTCATGGCAATAAATAAAATAAGTAATTTCAATAACCATTAACATATTTCAGTAATTTTCAATAATTATTTTGAAATTTCAGGTTTCAAACTAACTTGTTATCATTTTTCATTTATTACAATTTTCCCTGAAAAATATACAATAATTACTCACATAATAATTACCTTTTACAGCAATTACATTAATTTGAAAAAATGTGAAATTTTGAAAAGTCAGACTTATTGTAGTATTTGTTTTTCCTAAATACTAAAAATAATTACTAACATAATATTTTAAATTAAGTAACTATTAAATTAAGTAGTAATATTTTATTATTGAAAATAATAATATTATCAGTAATATTATAAATTTAGACTTATTGTAACAAATATTCAGTATTATAATATTATAATATTTAATTATTCAGTATAATAATTAATATTATTATGACTGAAAATAAGTATAAAATGTAAATATGAAATAATCGTTACTGTAGATTAATTCAAATCAGTAATTACAGTAATTAATGTACAGTATTTTGATAAATACAGTTAATATTTATGATAATTATATGTAATTTAATAAATTACTATAAATACAATTAAATTAATGATTAATTTTAATGGGTAATAACACTATTATTCATTATTATTACTGATAATAATAATATTAATAATTAACTTTACTTATATATTTATGAATTAATATGAATATTAAATGATTATAGCCAAATTAATAATTACATTTATTTAATATCATTTTGAATTATAAGTCCGAATTAATAAGCATAATTATTATCTCTAATTAATTAGCAGTAAGTAGTTTTGTTAATTAATTATTACCAGTAATTAATTATCGCTGTTGGGAATTAATTATTATTGGTAAGTAAAAAATCGTTATTAATTATCTCTTGGGAATTTGAATAGTCCGAATTAATGAGTATCATTATTATCACTAAGTATCATTATTAATAGTCCGAATTTAAATAGTTATTAATTATCTGTATTTTAAAATATAAATAACAGTTTATTAATATTCATTAATAAATTAATGAAGTATTGAAGTTTGTAATAATAATGTGAACCGCCCTTGAACCGGACCCGACAACCCGAGAACCCTCATAATGTGCATCAGGCATAAAGTTGGTCGAACATAGACCCGACCCGACAACCCATATCATTCTTCTTCTTCTTCACCCGAACTTCAATTCGTTCGGTCGTTAGAGCCAGGAAAAAAGGAGGCTACGACAGCCAAAAAATGGGTGCTTTACCACCCTTTTCAAGAACAAACCAGGTTTAAAAGATTAACATAGGTACCAATGTTTAAACAGAAAACTAAATAATCAAACAAAACTAATCTAAATATATATGAAAAAGTTTCAGTCGCTGATAGAGCGACCAAAACAGCAGGCTTTGGCAGATAAAAATGGGTGCTTTATCACCCATTTCAACAAAAAATGAAGTTTAAATAACAAATGTTTAACGAAAACAGAGATTCATAGAGGAAACAAATGTTTAACAAAAACATATGAAGTTTAAATAACAAACTAACCGGATTGAAAGCGGTTCTCTGAAAACGAAGTTTGAAGAAATCAGGCTAAGCGCTTAGGATCTGTGCATCCAAGAACCAAGATGGCCGTTTTCCATTCATTAACATGCCAAAAAATGATCAAAGAATTCAGAGGAAAAGAAAAAAGCAGTAATAACTACCATTCATCCGGTTTCTTGGAGGTTGGAAGTGATATGAGGATACGGTTGCTTTGTTGAAGTAATCTGAAGAGCGTGGAGGTAACTGTGAGTGCGCTGGGAGTCTTCAACTTCAGTTACAACGCCAACCAAGATGAATGAGCAGAAAGGTTTTGACAAATACGTTGAATGAGCAGAGAGGTTTCTCAGAGTTGGAGACGTGTTTGAGATGAAACATTGAAATCTATCTCATTCTCCTATTTTTTAGGAACCGATAGAGAGTGTCCACTCCTCACGTCTGAAAATTTACAATGCCACACATCTGTGAATGCAATGGTTTTGAATTAGTGGTCTCTCTTCTTAAAAGAGAGGTATCTGAAAAAGCCACATGTCTGACTAGGAAAGACTTTAACTTGATTTTATTACTTTAATATATTTGACTTCAATGGTCAAAATTTTCAATCAAAAGTCTCAACACACACAAATCCACGTTTATATATATCTATATATATACACGTTGACATCAATGGTAAAAAATTTCAATCAAACGTCTCTTTTAAGGCACAGAAATCCACGTTTTTCACGTTTCACCCTCGGAAGTCGGAATCTCCAAGACCCCAGCGAAACTTTCCTTTTTGCAAAATTTATTCAGGTTAATTAGGTTAAAATTATTTACAATTTGATATTATTCAATGTTAATTTTATAAATAACAAATTAATTAAATTAATCTATATTAAGGTTAATTTAGTTTATTATGTTAAGTAAACTTATCCAACTAACATAACTAAGTGAATTAAATTAAATTTAGTCAAAGTAAAAGCTAGCATAATTAATTTATTGCCGCATCCGACTCCGAATCCGATACATCTTCTACCAAATCAGAAAAAACAAAATAACTCCCATACATCGGGTATCGGAAGTTTGGGAACCCGTTGAAAGCCCTATACCTATTTCCTGGCTTCCTACCAAGCTAAACAGTAGAGCGTATAGGCGTAAGTTATCATGGCTTTCAGTCCACTTAAGTGCAAGCGGATGTGGTGGGTGTATCATTTCATTTAAAACACTCGCAGTCTCGCACTGCATTTACTTTGCCAAATGCCGTAGCCTCTCTCTCTCTTTTCTCTTCCACGGTATAATACGCAGCTTTTTCAGCACGATTTTATGGGCAAATCCGAAATTCCGATTTGCTTAATAGTTTTTTGGAAAATTCCGACGCACTCGGGATCAGATTCCCGCCCCCCACGACTGTGTGTGTACGAGGAATTCGCATCAGCGCCCCACAGCCCATCCCAAGTCGTGTATTGGAACATCTCCCATGACAAACGATGCACGCTGAGATGTGCACGTGCGAGTGTGGCCTGTGGGACGCGTTCTGGGACCCGCACGATTCCACAGATCCACGGTGAATCGGTGATCGAGTCACCACTCACCAGTTTCGAAGACCTGTGGTCAACTTACAACTGTCTACCCTGGAGTCATGGTGTCGTTTAACCGGTTTAACCGCCCGATCCATCTAAACTTAATAGAAAACCGATCAAACGTCTCTCTATTGTCTATACGAATACGAGAGCTGATCCTTCTCGCTTTTCGTCGTGTTCGTGCATCGAGCTGTTATATCCATTTATTTTGACACATTATTATTCATGATTATAAAAGATTTCAATCAAACATCTGTCGACATTTATATACCAATCCACAGTTGTTCGAGTTTCATCTCTACAAATCCCCGGAGCCCAATGAAAATACTAAAAAGAAATAAATGAAGATGGAAACACCGAGATAGATACGTGGCAGCTCCCTGTTCAACGTACGTCGCCTCATTTCTTCCGAGCGCTTTTCGGGATTTAAAAGAAGAGACTTSTCAGAGAACTGCCATCGTACCATTTTTTTCTTTCTGGTTTCCGACGACCAGAGCTTCTCCTCTCGTTTCCAAGAAGGCAAGAAGCCAAGAACCACCATGGCGTCTCATTCAGGTCCGAGCATTATATGGATCTCTCAGTCTCAGCTCAAGCTTCATCACTCCGGCTCTGATCGTCTTTCTCGTTATCCTTTCTAAGTTTAAAACTCGTTTTCTCCTTACATGTTTTTGTCATCTGCACTCTGCAGAGCAATGCGGTGTTGATCGGCTACTTTTTGCCGCTTACTGTGGAGAGCTCCATCTCTTTAAGAGTAAGCTAAATGTTTTAGGGTTTCCGAGTATCTACTGCCATTTATTTAACTGAGTCATCGTCTTCTTCTTCTTCTTCTTATTTTGAATTCAAACAGAGGTGGCTGTGAAGTTAGATTGGGGTGAAGGATTAGCAAAAACGGTTGCTGATATTAAGGATTCAAATGGACAAGGCGCGCTTCACCACGCCGCTGCAGGAGGAAGGACTCAAGTATGCAAGTGTTTGTTAAAGGAACTGAAACTTGATGTGGATGTGAAAGACGGAAGAGGTATAGTTCTTGAGTTACTTATTTTAGATTTTCTTTTTTGTCCTTGAATCTTGAAGAAATTGATCAACAGTAGCGTGGCTGTGACTGTTTGCATTCATGCACGACACAGGATTCCGTTATAGTGCCATTTTGATATGCTTGTAGGAAGAGGAGGTTGGAAAATTTCCCAAGTATAATCTGAGTCATACTTCCAGATTATAAGAATCTTATTGTGTATCTGTATTACTATTTTTAACTCTGTCCACGTGTTGTATTTCAGAGCAATGGAATTTATTAGTTCTCATCTGGATTTTTTTTGTAATCTACTATTTCGCTGTAAGAAAAAAGTACCATATTGATGATACCATTTCCTTAACATTTATGTTTACATTATGTTTTTCTCATTTTTTTCTTGCAGGTGCCACCCCATTTTTTCACGCAATTTTAGGAGGGCATATTGCAACCGCAAACTATCTTCTTAAAAATGGAGCAGACCCTGCTACGGTGAATGATTCAGGGTTCACTCCTTTGCATTATGCTGCATGCTGCAAAGCAATGTTGGCAGCCACTTTGCACCTGAAGGCAAATCTACTGTAGTTGAAATGTTTTAAATGCTCACATATATGCATCCATAAAACTAAAATTGATAATTCTGGGAAAAGTATCATAAATGTTTCTAATTTTTTCTACATTTTTGTAATTTTCTATATTTATTTCTATTTAAAAATTTTATTATCAAATTAGGCCTTTTTGGGTTGACCAATTTGATTCGGATGGTTGAATTGTTTAGTCTTCACTTGGATTATGGTTTTATATTCTTAAAAGTACTGGACATATATCTAATTAATAAGATTTATTAGTAAAAAAAACTTAAATATAATAGTTAATAAAAGAGAATGGGCGTTAGCACATCAAATATATGACTTAATGTGAGGGATTTGAATGAGGTGAAAAATAATAGTTTAAATTACATTTTTTGCCCTTATAGTTAAAAAGGGAGTAAATTGAAAATACATCTTTGTCAATTTTTATATTTCCATATGTATAAAAATAATTCTTATTTATCACACTTGTTTTTGTTTAATATGATGAATATACAATATTAGAGATGTGCCCAAACGTTCTTATTGCAAAATTTATGTATTTTTTCATTTTATCTTTATTCTTAAATTTTATTATTTAATTATGACATCAAATATTGACACATTTGACCTAAAAGTTGAATTGTTGACCCTAACCAAATAGAAAATCAGTTTCATTTTTTGGTTGGTTTTAAAATTTGCATTTAATTTCCATTATCAATAAAAATAATTCTTCCTTATGACTATTTAATATGATTAATATAAAATATCAAAGAAATGGCCCATTTTTTTKCATTTTTTTATTTTGTGAATTTGTTTCTATTTTAAATATTTTATTACTTAACTATGACATCATGGATTCACCCAATTGACCCCTTGCAATTAAAGAGGGACTAAATTCAAATATAGGGATAGTTTAGTAAAAAAGAAAGTTGCACACCCTTATTATTGTTTAATATGTCAAATATATGATGTTAAAAATGTTTCCAATTTTTTCTTTAATTTCTATATTTCTTTTTGCATTTTATCTATTTTTCAATTTTTTTTTTCTGTTTAATTGTGGCAACATGAATTGGCCCATTTGACTCAAAATGGTTTAATTTCTTACCACCACCTAGATGAAAACACTTTTTTCCCTGTAGATTTTAAAAGTGTAAGTTTTTATGATATTGGAATTATTAATTTATTATGTATGGATTAATTAGTGGAATTTAGTGATGAGAATAAATTAATGTTTTAAATATATGATTCAATGAGGGTGAATGAGAGTTAATACCTTATATGTGAGATTTAATGAGAAGGAATTGAATGCATTGAATAATAATATTCAAATTACATCTTCTACCCTCACAACAAAGGGATTGTATTTCAAAAAGGGGGTATTTTAGTCAATAAAAATTCCAGAAATTTTAGAGGATATTCACACTTTTTATAGTAGTATAGATAGAGTTGTATGGACTATGTTTTGTCATCTTTAGGATTTAGTTATTATTTAGTTATATATAAGAAATGAAATAACATTATTGACCACCCACCTTAAAAACCAACAAACCCTCAAAACTCTCAGAAATGTTTGGAGATCTTTGAAAATAAGAACTGCAAGGAAAGAAGACCTTGCTACCTATTGAAAATCCTTTTTTGGTGATCTAGTATATATTTAGATATGACGAAGGAGAGCTGGAAATTATTGAAATAGATGCAAGTGTTGCTCCTTAAGCTTCATTTTCACTCATATAGAAGGCTGTATTCTACTTGATCACATCTTCTCACGATCAATCTTTAAGCTATGTTATGTGCCATATGAATGTTGGAATCTAAAATGGGTGTAAGGTGCTAGACTTGCAAACTTAAAAAATTCTATTGGAGCACTTGGCTGCTATACTTAGAGTTTTAGATTATATTTTTCAATGATGTATCTTTTATTTATATAATAAATAGCTACTTGGGACCTGTTTGATACACATGCCTTTTTAAGTGAAATTGATAAAGAAAGAACCTCATGATGTTCCAAAGATTTTTTATGTTCAGATGGAGAATACTAGCTTATTTCAAGAGGAGCCCCTGCCCCCTAATTTATAATTTATAGCCTTAGTATCAAAATTAAAAATTAATCAGGCTTATACATAATAAATGAATAATCATGTCATTTCCCCTGTGAATTGATGGCAGAGATGAGCATGTGTGTACTACCCCTAAAACTTAAAAATGAACACAGCCATTGTTCTAGTGACCTATTTGATTGAACAATCGAATTCTTTGACCCACTCAAGAGCCATATATTAGGCATCAAATTCCTTTGTTTGTATGTTTTGTGGTCTTGGCCATTTCTATCATTTATAATAAGTGCTCAATTGGCACACTTATCTTTGTGTAACATGATTAATACATAATGCCATAGACATTGGCCAATTTTTTTACATAGTTTTTGTATGCATGCCGTTAACTTTTATAATTAATAAATTCAATATATTATGCTTATTTAAATTTATAATATATGCATAAGCTAAAAATAAGTAAGTTTTTAAAAACTTTTTTAATTTTCTTTATTTTAAACATATAAATTTAAATCGACTGAAGGCCGATGTATTGGATTTGGATGTGTTGGAATGTTTATCTATTTTTACATTTTTATTATACGATTTATGATATCATGGGCCCAAGTGATTGAATTTTTGACCCACAACGGGCTAAACAGTTGAATTTCTAATGTGGACCCACCCCGTTTTGTATCTATAATATAAATTAGTGTCATCCCAATCATTCTTTGAATTAATGATTTTAGCACATGCAATGTTAAAATTTGGAAAATATGCACTAATTCAATAGTTTATGCATTTTTATAGATATCAGTATCCATGATTTTTTTCATGGAGTATGAAATAAAATAAAAATAAAAGTAAAATAAAATTTGGAAATAATAATGATAATTTAGAAGATTTTGCTTAGGAATAAGCTGACCAAATTAATTGATTTGTTTATTAAGTAGACTTTTCTTGATGAAAGGCTTTCCTTTTTACTTTTTAGGGTTCAATTTGTTGAGATCTAATGCTTTGCTGTTTAATCGCAGCCAAATGTAGTTCTTCATCATATTTTTACACCACTAATGTTAGCTATTCTTGCCCAGTCATTTGAGTGCACAAAGCTGCTACTTAAGGTAAGAAAGTTGCACAACATTAAAATCCTTATTTTCTGATAGTATTTCAAAAACAAATCTCATTGGTAGAAGTTTGTCGAGGTCGTACTTATATTTTCTATATGTGTTGGAGCATTGAAGCTAAGTACTATTGACACTCATGTTGCTCATATCTTATGGTAAATCTTTCTTTTTGAATCCTGTATATTTCTTTTATTGCATTAGTGTTAAACCTATGGTGGTTCAAGATTCAACTTATTCAAATATTTTTATTTTCTAATGTTTTATAGTATCTACTTATTAAAAGAAAATATGTATGTAATTCCTATTGTATACCTATTTTTCTTATTGTGAAGTTTCATTGGCTTATGGCAAATACGCAATTGTTGCAGTTGAGCTCTGAGGCAATTTCAAACATCAAATCTCTGTTTTTAGTCCTAAATCACCCCTAAATCCATCTTAACCCTCCTATACTCGTCCTTTTGTCATTCAATCCCTACATTAATTTGTATGTAAGTTCTGGCCGATTGGTTGTACGTCAGGGGCAAAACACTTGTCGTTTGAATGCAATAGAGATTTAATGAGAGAATGCTATAGTGTATTTGTGGAAAGTACAGGAGAAAACAAACATGTGCTCGGGCCTTGTTATTTTCAATGTGACAGATGTGCAGGAGAGGATGTAGAAATGCCTTAATTGTAGGGAAGAGGAAAACCACATATGTAGTTTATAGAATATATTCTTTTATCCATTAGTTTACACATGATTTTTTAATCATTATAAGTTTTCTCATGATTATAAACTATTGGTCTCATGTAGTCTAAATCTTCTTAGGTTACATGGTTGGCCTATGTGTGTGGTGTGCACAATATAAGGTTTGGGCTATTTTGTGAAATTGATGTATTTAGTCTTACTCTTTGGTGGTTGATATGTTTTTATCAAATAAAATTTTGAGGTGGGCCTTATTGCCTGGAATAAATTAGGGGTTAAAGAGTTCTTGCAAGTATGTTGTTATATGAGGATTTGAAGGAGCTGTCTTTTCTCTTGAACCATAAACGTATTGGCGATGATCTTCAATATTTTGGTCTTGTTCCATGTTACCACTAAACCAATGGTTCTACTCTTTGGGATCCCTTGTTTGGAACTTTGGATTCACAAATTTCATTACAACCTCTCTTGATCCCTTGTGACTTTTTTGGCAATGAATGAATAATAGAGAATAAAAGATAAAAGATAATAGAGAAGAAAAGATAAAAGAGAGGAGAGAGAGGAAGAGAGGAGAAGAGTGAAGAGAGGGAGGGAAGAAAGAAAGGCTGGTTCGAACTAGAGAGAAAAATCTACTCTCTCTAGCCGGCTAGGTTATATTTATAACTTTCTATATCAAAAACAAATTGACTCTTGTGCCCCTACTTAAGTATGGGACACATCACTTAACTCAACATTACACCTCATACTAAACATAAACAAAAAGACTAATCTGCCCCTATATAATCAACACTAACACTCCTCCTCAAGCTAGTGAGTATATATATCATATAATCCTAGCTTGTTACATATGTAGTCCACTCTCACTCGACTCAACCCTTTGGTGAACAGATTTGCCCATTGTCTTCTTGTGTTAACATAGGCTGTACTTATTACTCCACTAAGGACCTTCTATGTGTTTTGTTCTCTCACAAAGTGACAATCAACTTCTATGTGTTTTGTTCTCTCATGAAAAACTAGATTAGAGGGGATGTGGACTGTAGCTTGGTTGTCACAATAAAACTTCATCGATGTGTCATGGCTTTGTATTCAGCTTATGCATTGCTTCTTGCCACCACTGTCTGTTTCTTACTCTTCCATATCACCAAGTTACCCCCAAAAAAAGGTACAATAACCTGTAGTGGATTTTCTGTTAGATACAAAACCAACCCAATCAGCATGGTGTATCATTCTATTTCAACTTTTCCTCCACTCTTGTATAGCAAGCCACGACCAGGAGCTCCCTTCAAATACCTTACAATCCTTGGAACTGCATCCCAATGTGGAACCCGAGGATTTTGCATAAACTAACTCACCACACTAACCACAAATGAAATATCTGGCCAAGTAATGGTTAGGTAGTTTAGCTTGCCCACCAACCTTTTGTACCTTCTTGGATCTTCAAACTCCTTACCTGTACCACTACTAAACTTAACATTCAATTCCATGGGTGTTTAAGCTAGGTTGGCACCCAACAACCCTGTCTCCTCTAGTAGGTCAAGGATATCTCCTCTGACACAAGTTAATGCCATACTTGGACCTCACTACCTCTATCCCTAAGAAATATCTCAGTTTACCAAGATCCTTTGTCAGGAAGTGATCATGCAAAAAAGTCTTCAACCTATCAATCTCGAACTTGTCTTGCCAGTAATAACAATATCATCTACATATACCACCAACAAAATCTTCCCAACACCAGAATCATAGCTGAATACTGAATGATTGACTAAACACTGTTTCATGCCAAATTTCATCACTACTTCACTGAATCTTCCAAACTACGCACGAGGGGGTTGTTTAAGTTCATGAATAGCTTTCTTGAGCTTACACGCTTTACCATCCTCCCCCTGAGCAATAAACCCGGGTGGTTGCTCCATATACACCTTCTCAAGAAGATCACCATGCAAAAAAGCATTCTTAATATCAAACTGAAACAAGGGCCAATCATACATAGCAGCTAGAGAGATCAAAACACAAACATAACTAATCTTGGCAATAAGAGAGAAGGTCTCTATATAGTTAATGCCATATAACTGTGAATAACTCTTGGCAACCAACTGACCTTTCAATCGCTCAACACTACCATTAGGCAAATACTTGATAGTGTATACCCACTTACATCCGACAACATGCTTACCAGGGAGAAGAGTGGTGAGATCCCACATATGATTATGAGCCAGAGTGGAGAGTTCTTTCATCTCTTGATGCCACCCTTGACATCCTTGGGAATAGAAACAAAAGATAATAATGAAACAAATTGTTGATGGGAATTAGAGATAGGATGAAGGGTACAACTACGTTTACCTTTCTACAGGGCAATGGGAAGGTCAGTGGTGGTGATGCGGAAACCACTGCCGGATCCGTCGGCGGTGAAGAAGCTGGAGGAGATGGTGCATGTCAATGCGTATACACTTATTGGATAGGTGGTCGTGTAGGGGGAGTGGCATTGGAGGCAAAGACTTAGTTGCAACTGGAACAAGTGGAATGGGGTCCACAATAGGGATTGGAAGCAGAAGAGAAGGAGAAGGGACATCCGACCCAGAAAAGAATGGAATTGACTGAAAGAAGGTAACATCGGGACACACAAAGCAACGTTGAGAACTGGGATTATAACACTTGTACCCTTTCTGGGTCCTAGAATAGCCAAGGAAGACACACTTAGTAGATCATGCATCTAATTTGTCTAGCCCATGGCCAAGGTTATGAACAAAACACACACACACACACACACCCAAAAACTCGAGCAGGGACCGAGCAAGATGTAAGCACAACATCACTCCAAAAACGTTTGGGTACATTCATATGGTGCAACAGGGACCAAGCAGTTTCCAAGAGGTGGTGGTTCTTCTGTTCAGTACCCCATTTTGTTGAGGGGTGTAAGAGCAAGAGGTTTGATGAATATACCATGTTCTAAATATTGCTGAAAGGGCGTATAAAAATATTCTCGGCCATTATCGGAATGTAGGATCTTAATATGGATACCAAATTGAGTGCAAATTTCAGCATAAAACTTTTGAAAAATAGAAAACAATTCACTTCTTAGTTCTTTCTTTCATAAGATAAAGCTATGCCATCCTGAATAATCATCGACAAAAATAACAAAGTACTTGTAGCTGATGATGTTTCGCATACGACAATCGACTCTAGGAGACTAGGACTAAAGGAAACCTGATGATGTTTCGCATACCGACACAACTCAAAATTCAAAGTAGAAAGACGACTCAATGCTGGAACAAGTTGCTTAAGAGCTTTAAGAGATGGATGACGAGTCTGTAGTGCTACTGGAGAGGAGAAAGAGACGACTGAAGAGCTGTTGACGAACCACCACCACCATCAAGATAATGCAGTCCACCAGCTTCATGCCCTCCACTAATCTTCATCACTGTCTTGAAATCCTGAAACACACAAGATGAAGGGTAAAAGGTGATAGAGCAATTAAGAGACTTGGTCAATTTACTAACATAGATAAGATTAAAAGGGAACTTGGGAACATACAGAACTGAAGACAAAGATGAAGTGGAACCATTAGCAAGGGTAACAGTGTGGGTTGTAAAGGATGAAGAGAGAGAAGAGAACACACCTAGAGTCCCAAGCATATGATATGAAGCTCCAGAATCAATGATCCAATGGGAGGATTTGGATGCTAGACAAGCCATACCTGAGTGGGTAAGTGTAGCTGTACTCGGCTGTGAAGTAGCCTGGATCAACCGCTCATATTCATTACGTGAAGTACTCATCATCTCTTGTCCGGAGGCATCTGTAGATGGTGTCTGACCGGCCTGTTGACTCTCTTGTCCCATACCACCACTAGCCAGTACATGATTTGCCCAGGTTGAAGGTGGGCCATGTAGATCATAGCAAAAATTAATAGTATGTCCATCCATACCACAATGTGTACACCTTCTCGGACCATTACTATGTCCTTTACCACGAGCTCCCCTTGCATCTCGACCTCCAACATGCCCACCACCACGACTGTACATGTGTCCTCCTCTACCACCACGACCTCCCCCTCTTGTCATTGCAAAAGCAGACCTATTTGATATGATGGGGTTCTCCGGATGTCCAATGGAAGTCCTATGGAGACGAGAAAACACCTCTTCAAGGGAAGGGAGGGCAGACCCACCTAGTATCTGTGTTCTCACTGGTTCATATTTAGACTTCAATCCTACCAAAAATCTGGTTACATCAAGCTGCTCTCTCTGTTTTGCTGAATTTTGACATTAGATGTAAGGGGGTGATACACATTTAGCTCATTCCTTAGATTCCTCAGACTAGC